GTATGTTCAGCAGTGGCCTTGAACAGGGTGCACAGTCACTGCAGCCTCTTGTATTATTAAGATGAGGTATTGTAACTTTTCACTGTACTTACAAAAGCTCCAAATTACATACGCCTAGTATTTCATTATCAAAAGAAACTATATTCAGGACAGCGAGATGGCAATACAATGTTTCCGCACAAGTCTTACATGTAACAATCTAAATTTTTCGAGCTCCAGTTGATGTCTTTGGCACTTGTGTCAGGTCCACGCGTGCGTACGATCCCGGAAGTGGTGCGTGCAGGTGTCATCCCTACGTGCACCGCATAGACATTTAAAATACCCAATTAACCCCGACTTGGTATCGCAGCATCCGCGTGGCACGCGCCATGATCGCGCTAGTGTCGTGACAGAGTGACACGAGGTCGCGTGTCATTTTCTAAAATCAGTTAATCCGGTTATGCAAGTTAATGGTGCGGTCGTTTGTAGCCAATTGGCCCATTGGCTTGTTGACTCCGTCAGTTGACGGGCGTTTGAGTGCAGGAAGCCGGCGCGTTTGTTTCAAGTCTCCCGGCCGTGTGCCCGGAACGCGCATGCTCCGACTGGTGTCACCATGCGTGCGCCGTTCTCCGGGACTAGTGCGTACCGACCCTGTAAGATGTTTCAGAGCTGCGAACTGCGGTTGACGTGACCTAATTTATATAACACCACATGCAACTTGGTGTGCAAAAAGACGACCAGCATGATCCTCGCCCATGGAGGCATCGTAGGGAAAACAACGGCGGTTAAGAGGCAACCGAAGGCGAAAATCGATCGGCATTCTCTTCCCACTATTGTTGCGTGAGAGTCTCGGCTTGCACGCAACTTTTTACACAGCTCCTTGTCACCGCTACAGAACGTCACACATGACAATCTTACAATCTATTTAATTGGGAAGTTTACTTACGTTGTTCTTCCTGCGAAGAGTTGTAAAGTCATTATGGTTTGTTCGTGTTCAATTACATCGGTGCTTATACAAATTACAGGAACATATTTAAACGTTATTTGTGCTGTCACAAATTAATCTAATCGAAAGTGCTTACGCCACATGAATGTGTATACACGACCTAAAAGTAAAAGTTTACTTTTTGCACGAGATGATATTAAGGCAGAATGAAGTATTGAAATCCACATTATTTGTTAATTTTGTGGCGGGAGAAGTGGCTAGAGAACTGTTTTGAGAAGAAATAACGTGGAGACAATATTTATGTACAAAAACCGATGCCCAAGACGGATTCCTAGTCAAGTAATGTGCCCTAGTTACTTGATGGTAAAGCGTGAAGCCAATAATTTGATTAATTGACGATTAAAATAAAAAGCGGGGATTCTGTTGGGCCATACAGTTTCGTATGTAATTGCTACTGACTTACTCGTCACGGAGATCATGATAACAAATAAAATCAATTACTGGTCAAGTATTAAATGTCATTTTCACAAACTAACAGTACAAGCTCAATATTTGGTGATACACTTTTAGGTATTTTTCTTTTGTTACGATAAAGAAGTATAACGTAATGTAAGTATAGCGCGCATAAGTACATACATAATTTTTGTATAAGGGTTAGAACCTATAAATTAAGTAATACGTTGTTTGGTTTAGAAGATTCCGCTCTTCTATACAAAATAATTTATCACGAAAAAATTGATAAATGTAAAATGCAAATGCAATGTAATTAGAAATTATTTATTTATTTATTTATTAAGGTACACCAACAGCATAACATATACTTACATTTATATATACATATATTTTTAGTTAGAGGTTTTGTTCTTATATTTACGCCAATTATAGGTATACACAATATTTACGATATAAGTACCTAAAAGTAAAAGATAACAATTAATTTTCTAATAAATAAAAATAAATGGAATATGTGCACTGGTTCCGATAGAGAGGGGGAAACACTGCCACTACTATAGGAAGGAAATCGATAGTGAGACGTTTCTTCTCAGTTGCGCAATTTCGAAACCGTCTACGTTGCACTGTTGGCTGTTGGTTACATTTATATTGCATCAATTACGAGTACGATAGTGACTCGTGGTTCAATCAACTCTACGGTGAGCGCAAAACGTGAAGACGGAGTCCTTCCCTCCCTCTCGTGCCAGTTTTCTTTTATATTCTTTATGACATATCAGAAAGGAGGTGGGATGGTTATGACGCTTATCGTCCACTAACACCGCGAGAATTTACATTTTGCCACTGGAACGTATATAAGTATTGTATTACAAAAACGTTTGGGCGCAATTATTACGAATTACATCATCGTCGAAGAGTTATGTCTCTTATTTGATAAAATAAATTATGGTCACAATGCGTTCCTGTAAAATTAGTAAATAAAAAAAGACTACCAAGCGTATTTGGTCTTCTTATGTTTATGCGCTCTTTTTAGATATTTTTTGTCGCGGTCCAACAGTACTGTTTAAGTTATGCAACAAAACAGATTCTTTTTTCATTTAAATTACATTTAACAAACGAATATTTTATTACCAGCGAGTTGAGTAGCCATCATGAGTTAATTATAAAAACACGATAAGATCAATATTACATGATGATTCTCAAGGCTAGTTAAACTACTACTCTTCGGTCCATTATTATTTTAATATAACAAATTAAACGTTATTTTATCTATTGCTATATGGAATAAATTTACGATATTACGATATCATATCGATATTATTAAAGCCTGTATTTGTTTTTAAGGTCCGGTAGTTATAGGTTTACTCTTGATTTCCTACGGTTCGTTTCATTTTTTTACTATTTCCGTCCCTTGTACTGTTGTTGTTTTTAAAATTGGCAAGATTATAATATTATTCAATTTGCAACTACTTTTTTTAATTCGCTGTGCATTATACTGTAAAACATTAAATTTTTTGTCACCAGGTTCTCGCACGAAGTGCCTATACATATTTTTTATACTTCATGCAATCGAATAAAGCGGGCTGTCGAATGACAACAGTACGTCCTCCTTATCGTGTTTGATCGTGATACAGTATCGAAAGCTACGGGTCGTTATTCAATTGACAAGTGCTAATGTAAAGGTTAAGAGATGGTGACTGGCGGCGATCGATCGTCGTCTCGAATAAGGCGCGGACGAAACCTCTGAATTGACACTCGCTATTGACTATAGAACGCTTTATCTCTGTCGTCCAATTTCAGGTGTGGACATTGCATATTTGCTCGTAGCTTATTCAGTCGGCGAGCACTCGAGACGCCATGTCGGAGTAACCAAATTAAACATCGTGTTATAATGGTTGTTTTTCCTCAACCAAATTACTGGCCTCATCAATGGTAGTAAAATATATAACACGCCTTTTATTGATTTTCCTGTTATTTTTTGTTTAATGTAGTATAATAAGACCAATACAAGATTTCGCGACACTAGTCGTCAACGGATGAATAAAATAGTATAGTAGTGAAGTTCAGGTATAAATTGTGACCAGTGTGTTGTCTTACTGGTGGTCACCAATTCAGTAATCTTAATGGATCCCATCCTGCTGTTGTAATAAAAGAATTATTATATTTTTCAAAGAAGATAAACGTGGAAAGAATTTAAGTGAGAAGGAAATGTTGAAAATAGAAGAATCATCCATTGTTATTGAATAAAAGTATATAAGGTATAAATGTATTGTTACCACTAATAGGAATTTGCCAAAGAACACAGATTTCTATACACTTCGTTTGTAGCTCTTCTGCCTAATATAGAAACGATTATTGCATCGTTAACAGTGATAGGCTGAGAGTATATTCCATAATGTAATATATAAAATTGTCTTGTGTTCATATCGGCCAGGATGGAGAATCTGACATTTTTCGTCCCCCTAAATGTTAAGGGTGGTCCACCCAAAACATTTTTTTCTACCCTAAAAATAATTTATATGGCAAAAAAACGCATATATATATATGTGTGTGTTTGTGTGTTTATATATATATGTATTATTCTTCTGTGCACACGCACTGATTTTGATGACATTTTTTGTGTGTGTTCAAGTTGATTCAGGAATGAATTAGATACACAGTTCGCACCATTACAAAATGTTTTTTTGATTATTTTTTTATTTATTAGTTGTATCCAGATTTAGGACGTGTGTACAGGACATGGTCTGTCGGTTCCGCTACTTTATAAATAAAAACAATCAACACTTCTGTAAATAAAAATTTTGATAAATGTAAAAAGATAATATTCAGTATAGAATTTTTTTAAGCACTATGAACCTCCTAATGGTAGTTATGTATTAAGTCGTTTAGTTATAAATTTTTCCCCAAATAAGATTTATGAGCTAAAACGGGGTAATCCCTCTGAAAAATCTTATTACTTATTGGGTTAGCCAAATAAATTACTCCGTATGGAATATACTTATCAAAGATACCGATTTATGTTTAGTAGTAGTTTAATACAACTATTATGGAGTCATAATTCATACTAAGTTGTCTATAATAAAGCACTTACATAATAATTATATATATATTTTGGTGTTCTTAATCAAATATTTTCTTCATTAATCGCTCACAGTGTTCATGGGGTTGTTTTAACGTAGACATCGAAGTGTTGTAACGAGCTAGTACATAATACAGATTTATTTTCTCTGCGTGTTTAAAATACACCTCGTGTAATTTCTGAACTGTTTTGCTACTATAACTACCAGAAATGTTGTTTCGTTGGTACCGCAATTTTTAGATTGTAGTTAACTCCATGCTATAGTATTCTTGTGTTCGAAAAATGTTTAAATACAGACTATAAGTTATAATAATAATTTAGAGTCTGAAGCAGACAATATTTTATATGTTGTTATTTTTTTTCTGCATTTACCTATAGTATATTTACCTGTAGTAAATTGTCTTGCCTATTAGTATTTTGTAAATATATATTATCACCAGACCATTAACTGAAATCGAAACACCTCGCAATCAGTACCCTGCCTTGAGATTTGGGTGCAGACGCAAGCAATTGCGAGGTGAACAGTTGACGTTTCTCCCGTCCTAGATCTGGCGCGCAATTGCACACCGCCCGCAATCGACGACTTCCCGGCGGGCTTCTTCACCGAGCAGCAGCGGCAGCACGGCGCCATCGTGCTGCACGCCCTGATATCCATCTATCTGTTCGTGGCCCTCGCGGTCGTCTGCGACAAGTTCTTCGTGCCAGCGGTTGGTAGGATATGCCACGGTGAGTGCGCAAGGAAATCAACCCCCACAAAGCTAAGCCAACGTTATTTAAATTCACTAAATAATAAAAATGGCTCACAAAAACTGATAAAAAATTAAGAGAAAAAAACGAAGGGACTCACTGTGTATTGAAAAATTTAAACATCGCGAGTGTCTATGTGCCTTGTTCTCCTATATTCGAATTGAAATGTTTGGCTTGAATTTGTTTCGCATGTTGGGACGCAATAGTAAACAAATAGCTGATGCGTCTGGGTTATATACATTGGAGATATGCCCTTCGCCTACTGTTGTGGTTACAGAAGGGGCCTATAATTTTTAAATTCAGTAGATGATTAAATTAGGCTTGGTTCAATTGCAGCGCTGAACATGACAAACGACGTGGCCGGCGCCACTTTCATGGCCGCCGCCACGTCGGCACCCGAGCTATTTGTTAATGTCATCGGGACTTTCATCACGGAGGGTGACATCGGTGTTGGCACTATCGTTGGTTCCGCAGTCTTCAACATTCTCGCTGTGGCCGCCTGCTGTGGCATTGGCGCTGGAATGGTATACTCTATATTCTTAGCTACGAGTTTAGTGTAAATTATATTGTTAGTGTAATTATAGCTGTTGTAGGAAGAAGGTATCTTCAAAGAGAGGATGTATGGGCTTTTACCCATATAAAAACCCATACATCCTAAGACTAACACACGCATTCATAACAACTTCTTGGATTTACGCGAATATTATACATTTCAATAAAACTAATTTACGGATTTTTTCGCGGTTTATTTTCATTTTGAAAGACCCGACGTTTACAGCCTTACAGCATTCGTGGTCGTTGACTGGACTGACACGTCAGGCGTCCTATTGTCATTGTCAACTTGGGTTCACGTTAGATTGAAAATTATAAATTTATATAATGTTATTCGAATTCACACACAGAACGCTAACAATATCATAATGTTTTGCTGTGTTTGTTTGAAGATTCAATAGCGTAACAATTATTTCGTTGAGTTGACTTTGAGATCAAAGTCAACATAACGAAATAATTGTGAACCAGTTGAAAACTATCTTTATATTGTATTGATTAAGAGTTTTGAAATTAAATAAATTATAAATCAATAAGAATTCTTATCAACTAAACGATTGCTCTCTGTCAAGTAATAATAACATTTTTGGGTAGTAAACGTCTGTTTCAGAAACTCTTACCTCCATAAGTTTATTTAAGACCCATTTTTTTATTTAAAGTAACAGTCAAGAGCGAAGGGCTAATAAAAACTATCAATATGGTTGAATATAAACAAAACCACGGTGGTAGGGCCACGCTGCAGCTTCGGCTGTTGCACGAATGGGCAGGCCCGTCCGGGTAAGTACCACGACCTCACAGAAGACCAGCGTAAAGTGGAAGTATGACAAATACTTTCGCGTTTCGTCTGGTGAGTGAGGTAGCCGGAGCCCAATTTTCATAAGGTTGTCAACGCATCTACAACCCTCGGGTGTGGCAGATGTCCATGAGCGGTGAAATTCACTTAACATCAGGTGAACCGTCTGCTCGTTTGACAACTTTCGGCATAACAAAAAACCAGGAAAATGACAGCAACATCTGAAGACACCTGGAATATTTCATTTACAAGTTACCAGGGCCTGGAAGATAGGTCTGAGAGACGTTCTTTACTATTGGTATCTCTTACAGGTGGTGCCATTGGACTGGTGGCCACTGACTCGCGACTGTTTGGCCTACGGCATCACGGTGTCAATACTCATCTGCATAATGCATGACGAGTACGTGCAGTGGTACGAGGCCTTTCTTCTAGTCCTTCTCTACGGCGTATACATTTGCATTATGTATTACGACAAGTCCATTCAGAATTTTGCCAAAGGTATGAATGTATGGTAACTCTTATTTTAAATACAGATTTAAAGTCCTCAGATGATTTAAGTATTTATTGTTAATTTTTCAATATATATTTGTAGGAAGTTGGAAATGCGTGTCAGAAATGTTGAAGAAAGATGAAGAGACGACAGGAAATGGTATATATTTTTGTTATTCTTCATGTTTATGAATAAAATACAGTTTAACTTAATTAATACTTTTGCAAATTGCAGAATTGAGTGAATCCAAAGTGCCTACTTTGCCGCATAAGAACGAATTAGGTGTAGATCGCTACCAACATAATGGAAATATAAAAAGTATTTCGCTGTATCGTGACGGCAGGGAGAAGAAACTGGAAACCATTGAAGATGAAGACAAGAATGTTCATATTGAGGTCGATCCCAAGTCATGTGATCCTGAGATCATTACTCAAGAGGATCATAGCTGCAAAGACGACGCAGATGAACCGAAAAAAAGTGACAAAGATGGGTATGAACATTCACTATGGAAGTGGCCGTCTGGACGGAGCCATTTAACGAAGGTACAGACCCGACAAGAAATACAAGTTCTAGATCATTCATGTGACTACGGAGACTAACATTTTTGCTCTTTCGCAGATTACATGGATCATAACTTGGCCAATTCATCTGGTATTTATGTTCACAATACCCGACTGCGAGAAGCCCCGCTTCAAGAGCTGGTTTCCCCTCACGTTTATCATGTGCATCGTGTGGATAGGATCCCTATCTTACATAGTCGCTTGGATGATCACTATTATTGGTTTGTGGCTTCTAAAATACACTCGTACAGATGTCTTTATATTTATAAAACCTTTTGTAATTATGAATACATCTATGTACTTAATAGTCTGCAAAGTCTGCAAATACTGCAATATTAACTTTGAATCGGTGCGACCTAAATAAATTATTGTTTGACTGAGTCACTTGTGAATAGCGCTGTAATAAAAAGCACGAGCGTGTGGTCAATGGTACCATTTTTGTTTTGCAGGTGACACTTTAATGATTCCTGATTCGGTTATGGGAATAACATTCCTCGCCGCTGGAACTTCGGTGCCGGAAGCCGTGTCAAGTGTTATAGTTGCAAAACAGGGTGAGTTGGTGACATATTTTCTAGGTGAAATTAATTGAAGAACAAATTGGTCAATGTGATATTGCTGCAGGTCACGGGTCAATGGGCATCAGTAACTCGATTGGCTCCAACACTTTCGATATACTGCTGTGCCTCGGGCTGCCTTGGCTCATAAAGGCGTCATTAACTCCAGCCGAGCCTGGAAACTACTGGGTGAGCCGGATTTTTTTTAAGTTCAATGTTGGTCGCTTGCGAATCTGAACTGAAGCGTAGCGTTCCGCTTAGCGGTTGTGTCTAATGCGAATTGTTGTGTTAAGCATAAGCACGCTCGCTTCATTGCCATGTTTCGTAAACTGTTATCTCAATTCCTCTGTTTGGTGTGTCTGCGTGACTATTTTCGTATAACTTTAAAAAGCATTATATCAATAGGTGAAGATAAATTCAATGGGGCTGGAGTATTCAGCGATTTCGCTGCTGTCCACGCTGCTGATGCTCTATCTCACCTTCTGGTTCAACAAGTTCAAGCTGGATGCCGCGGTGGGGCGCGCCTGTCTCGCCATGTACGCTATGTTCCTGGTGCTGGCGACGCTCATCGAGCTCAACGTCTTCTTCCCCGTCAACGTGCGCACGTGCAAAAGAACCGAACTGAAGTCCTAGACAACCAGCTCTTATGGCAAACAGTGAGGACAGAGTAGGCGCGTCTGTCCTCAACACGGTGTGAGATAACGGTTGTGCCTCACTCAACTCTAATTGGTTTTCGCTTAGTATTGAATTGTTCAATTTAAAATTGTTTACCTCCTCCCGTCCGTAAACTACGTACGGCGAGCACTCTGCAAGTTCTCATAGATTAATTGCTTCCGGCGTTTTGAGACAAATGGCTAATGGCATTGGTGATACAATCGGCCCGGCAGGGCAATTTTATTATTTTTAATGCCATTGGGTCGCTTTTATATTTTTGTAAGTGGATATTTAAATGTTTAATTTATGTATTTAAGATTAATAAAGGCAATCAACCATTTAGCTGCGGATACGAGCAAGTGACGGATGAGCAATTAAGGTGAACGTTTTTGAGGCTTAAGGATAATTTAGGATGCAATTGTTGCGGCAACGGTTGCCTTGATCACCGGTACATATGCGATTAGTGAGCAATTGAATGCGTAATACGTTCGTTCACTTGGCATCATAAGCGGGCAATTTGCGTGTCGTTTGACTGCGCGGATCACGACGCCCTTTGATGAATAAATGGTTTTTAACGTCAAGGGATAATCTCGATACACATTTTTGAAATGACCTAATATAATGTGGTTATTGTAATTTTTAATGGTTTAAAAATAATATTAGGAAACAAAATCGTATGCCCATAATACGTGACGACCACTAAGGTGAACAGCAGTCGAACAAGTACGCCGGGAGATTCGTTGTTGTAAATAAATAATTATCGATGTAATACACCTTACACTCATTGAATATATTAATTTTTAAATTAAACAATAGCAATGTTTTATTTAAGACAATTCTGATCTATGCATTTCTACACCTTGGCTTATTAATTTACTTAATTAACACAATATTCATTGAAGTGTGTTAATTAAGTAGTTTGGTAAAAAAATACCTGCTTCAGCTATGCGAGGGATCGAAAATACTATAAGTAGTTTTAAGGAATGCTACTTGTATTATTTCAATGTCACAATTTTAATTGATTTTATTTTCAAATTCAAATAAAAATATTTTTATTCGATATAGAAGCATTACACTTATTGATTGTCAAAAAATACTGCTACCGGAAAAAATACTGTTCGGAAAAATGCTAATGACCTGCGAAAAATCGGCGAAGAAACTTGGCGGGACAATTTCTTTTAAGCATATTTTTTGACTATTAATATAAGAAACCTGAGAAAGAGACTGGAGCTATCAATTCATTCTAAATAATCTAAATAATGACTAATTGTATAAATACTTATTCTACGCAATCTAGATGATGGTAAAATTAGTTTATGTTCGTTCCTAGAATTTACATCGTGCACATTACTAAATCTTGAAAACTCATTAATATTTTTATGGACATATATACCGTTTGCAAGTATGTACTGAGATAAGTCAATGTTTTTATTTCTTTAAACGAATCTCTTAGTGATCCTTTGGGCCCGCGGTTATAAACTGCTCGAACAGCAGAAATTTTGCAGGAAGAATAAAGTGTTGTGCCATATGACATTATACTGTGGAAATAAATAAAATATACAAAATGAAGCGTATCCACATCAGTCAACAGCCTTATTTTTTAGCCGCGAAGGCTGTTGGGGGCCCCATTGCAGTTTGCCTTCTATAGTTATCTCAAGCAAGACATGTTCATTTGACTTGCATTATTAAGCAATCTTGTTTTAAAGGCAATCTTATAAGTTGGATGGTAAAATCGTATTGTTATCAAGGTATTTAAAATAAAATTTTATATTAATCCAGAAGAATATGGTTAAAAATAAAGTATAGTCAGGTAAACGCATTGTTTTTTTTTATTTTTATCCATAATTTTTCATTTATTAATTATTCTTAAGGCAGCGAACAACGAACTTTCTAAATGACATGAATTGAGATAATTTACACAGGGTTCACATGTTGGCACGCATTAGATTGCGGGTCCTCCTCAAAATATCCTCGGCGTCCAGACCGGGACTCTCCTTCTGGAAACATTTAAACTATAATCAAGTGAACGATTAACGGAACTTGGGTGTGGTTATCACTATTTCTTAATATTGTAAATACGAGAAGAGAAAGAATGAAAAACACGAAATAGCACCAAGAGCTTGAGTCCTTCCCCCTTGCTATGTTTAGCTCAACCGAGTATCGAACCCTGATTTTAATATTTAGCTGTCCCGTGATTTTGTTCGCATGCCATCTTGTGAGTAAGGTGGGTGGCACTAACGTCGCCGGGCGTGCTGATGTGCAGCTGGTCGAGGGAGGTGGAGTTGTCGCGGGGGTGGGCGGGGTGCGGGGGGGGGCCGCGGGCGGCGGCACCGAGGGTGCTGCGCCGGCAGCCACCGGTGGATCATTGGCGTCAGCAGATCCCGGTGCACCTGATGAGAGAGCGGACCAACTTACGTACAGAATACGACCATACGATGATCAAATAAAATAACTGTCGTACGTGCATAATTGTCGTTAAATGAGTTAAAGTTAGTTGCCCTTGGACTGACATCACACACAACAGTGATTAGATAAAAACTTGAAAGAAGTATAAAGTTCAAAAAAAATTGTAGTTATTTGGAAGTGAAATGTCCTTGAGTCCAGACTTGACGTAGGATATACTCCTCGTGCGTGATTGGGCAATCGGAAACGTTTGCATTTTTCGGACGGGCAAAGACACTGTGGTAGGGCCACGCTGTGTCCATTCGTGCAACAGTGTTCACTGTTGCACGAATGGACAGCTCCGTCCGGGTAAGTACCACGACCTCACAGGAGATCGGCGTAAAGTGGAAGTCTTACACTTCTGCGTTTCGTCAGTTTATTTAAAGGTGGCAGCGTATTATCAACCCTACAGGTGTTGCAAATGTCTATGGGCGGCGGTCATCGCTGAGCATCAGGTGAACCGCCAGCTCGTTTGACACTTTATCAAATAAAAATAGACACTCCGGTGGCGGGTGAGGTCTCACCATGGCGGGGTCGTTGGGCCTCGTGAAGTAGGACACGGCCACGCCCACTAGGGTGCACACCGTCATGCCCACCAACGTGTAGTACAGGTAGCTTAGCCTGTACATGAAGAACGTCCCGGACCTAGAAAAGAACTGCGCTTCAATATGCCGAAACACACACCGTCGAACAACACGACAAGGGCAGTGAACTCAAATAGAAACATGAAAGCGAAAAGAGGCGGCGTCTCGCGGTACAGTTTTATATATCACAAAACTTCTTAACTTTGTTATAGACAGAGCCAGATGAGAAAGGGCGAAAACGTCTCGTGAAAGAAGTTTTAAATGGAGACAAGATATCGATTTTGTTTTGTTATCCATGATTTTTATTTTCCGTATTCAAATATTGTATAAATGTATGGAAGCCGCATTATGATGATGAGTATGTAGGGATTTTATTTAGTTTTTTCATTGTGAATTTATTCCCCAGAAATCTAAAAACTAAGGCAGAGGGAAGAGGTGCGTTAAATAATTAATAATTGTTTAAGTAACACTTAGGCACAAAACATCCATTATGGCATTTGGCATTACGCAACGGCTTGTCAACTAACGAGCTAAATGTCAGCGCTTGTGCTGCTATTATTTTTGAAATGTCGAATAAGCGTATATATTTTTTTGTTTGAAGATACATCAGAGTATTATTGATTTGTATATATGTTTTATTATTATTTATTATTTAAAAACTTTATGCACAATAACGTAGAATGGCTTAACATTAGGTGTTCTCTACGACAAACAAACAGAGCGAATAAGGAGGTGCGAAAGAACCAGATGAGATAGTGAAAAACATGTAAATATATAAAATATGTTCGTGATTACGGTTAGTGTGAGTTGCGGGGCTATTTATTAACAACCACGTGTAAGAACGCGCGCCTTCCATGTTTTATTTGGGTTCACTGGAAAAGGGTTAACATTTTATTTATTTACACCTGAACTCGACCAACCAGTTTCCTCTGTGGGTTTTTTCTCGTTTCCGATGGAACTTCCGAAGAAATGGTATATAAAACACTCTCCGGTTATGAACAAACACTTTTTGAGTTCTGTTAACACTAACACACAGAAGATAACCTTTCGTACATAAGGATTTTATTAACTATATTCCAAATCAGGCAAAGAATTTCAATTACTTATTTCTTAACACAACAGTTTCTTTTCTTGCATGAATTTACCTTGAATACAATGAAATAAATAAGCTTTACTGAGCCGGAAATGAACAGATAAAATATTTATGAACGATGAAACTGATTGAATAACTTCAACTGTTAAAGTAGAACGACCGTCACCTGTCAAACTGAGTCGTCTCATGGCTAAAGATTGTTGTGTGCAGTGTCAGGTTTCCTGGGCACCCAGATACAGACACCGGCTTTGGCACCACCACAATCTCGCCCCGGATCATGGCCGCCTGCGTGCCCAATGACATCCAACCGACCAGTAGGGTGGACGTTATGCCGCCCACCATTGCGCCCTTACAAGGGAGACTTATTGTATACTTAGAAAGGAAAAAAATTGATTCAACGATTGATGCAATAAACATGCGATGATAAGAATTTAAATTAATAACAATAGCAAAATTTTGAAATTGCTTTTGCTATCGGAAGCTACTCGTGTGTCCTGGTTATATTATAGAGCAAAAAGCAATTTTGTTTAAAATAATATTTTAAACAAAAGTGCAAGAAAATCTAACACTTCACATCCCTATCTAAGGTCTTGGAATATGGATATTCATAAGCGAGTCTATCATTTGTTTTTTTTTTCTTTTACAAAATTGTGTGTCCTTTAGAAAGCTAAGAAGGTCAGCCGTGGATTACTTTTACAGGAATCTTATAATCATACAGATAAAAAACTGCACAAAACAACTGACAAAAAATATTTCTATAGTAATTATTATTGATTAAAGTGCAAAGCACATCTGTGGCTTCCGAAGCTTTGCATTTTCATTGTGAAACATGTAACACTAGCTGACCGTTGAGTTGACCCACGGCAAAAAGAGTCCCATCGAGAACATCCCCAGCAGACTGCCAGCAGTTATCCCGGCGAGGCTCTTCCCCGCCTGAATGAGAGCCCCCATGTGCTCCACCAGAAACACCAGCGCCACGCACACCGCCCCTGCCCGAAACAAAACACCGTTAAGTGGAACACTTCCAAAAACCAATTTTCTAATGGTCGAACTCTGTAGTCTAGTTATAGTGGCTTGGCATTTAAAATGATTAACAGTTAAACCGAATCTATTAGGCAAATTTTTGATAGAAAATAAGTCTCGGCTAATCTTAGAAAACTTTAATTTTCAGTCGGTCATAAAGCAGAAAGTCGTCAGCATAAAGATGCGTATACTTAAATTCATTAGATAAGAGATAGAAAATAGAATTTTGGGACATATCTTTACATAACGTTATCTAGTCCCTAACTAAGCAAAGTTTGTGCTATATGGTCTAGGTAACTGATAAAAATACTTTTGTCTTGTTAATATTTGTTATTGATATGTAAACACCCAGAGATCAGAAAAATACTGTATAGTACTGTAATATTTGTTAGGGGTAAATCAGTAGTGAGGGTCGAATTCACACACTGGCACACGTGCCAGGGTCGCTATCCACAACGCCATTCGGGTCAAAAGAATAGGAGAGTATACCGGCATGAGAAAGACAAAATTAAGCCCCCATGATGAAAACTCACTGTCGCAAAATGTTTTTTATCTGAAACCGTGTTATTGGAGGGGATGTATGAAAGATTGTCATGTCTCATAGTGTTAAAAGTGTTTGAAAAATCGACAAGGACCATAAGTGTCATTTTACCGTGTTTCATGCGGGTCCTAATATAGTCCTAGATAGCCAGGACTTTAAGGATTTTATTTATTTAATCTTTATTGAACTAAAAATTGTACAAAGGCTAGCTTAATGCTATATTGCATTCTCTACCAGCTAACCCTAGGTAGAACAGAAACATAATGACAAGGACAGTAAAAATAGTTGTAAAGGCTACATAATCAAATAAATATTATAAATTAATAATATAGTAGTAGTACTGTGGACTACGTCGAAAATTGGATTGAAGTGGATTCATCAAGCTATGATTAGTTATAAAGCGGTTGATAATGGGTGGTATTGGAACTCTTTGTAAGTGGATGATCAAGGGCTCTACGCCATAAAGCAAGGAAATATCCAGAGTCTAACGAGAAATTTCTACCGTGGCTAAATGCGGGAAGGATGTGATCATGTAAAGGAATAGTTAAGCCTCGGGCGATGTAATCATGACCGACTGAATTTAATTTCCTATCACATATCGTTAGATAATCAGAAGTAATAGCATTGAAATGATGATTAAGATCATCCAATCCGATAGAACTATGAGGATTTGTAATATTTAATTATAGATGTTGTCATCATCATCCGATCACACTGATTCCTAGCCAGTTTATTAAAATACCTGTTCTTTGCCTATTTGCCTCGCCTTGAATTTTTTGTCTGGGGCGTGCATGCCATAGAGTTTTGTAACTTTGGATAAGAATTGTCTTTGACATCAGCTTTTTGGAGATGATATTTATTGAGAATTAGATATTAACTCATTGGAGATGAGGTAGCACTAGATCTCAGAAGTAATAATGGTATGCACATTGGGGATAAAACATGCTCGGCACAAATCAGTAAATTATCTTTGAACACTTTGCGCATTTAAATGACAATTAATCAAAAGTCGCTGCTACTTACACAAAATTAAATTTCAAATGAGTCACTTAACAAAAAAAATAATTGTTAGCAGAGTGACATATTTTTAAATACATCGGACCCAAAAATATATCTTATGGAAATTTTAATATATAAATAGTCATCATACTTCATACATAAAATAATTAAAATAGTTATTGGAATTGCCTATAAATCGATGGAACAAAGGACGTTTATGTCGAATAATTAAGATTAATTGGATCAGGTGGGGGGTTATTTATTAACGGCCGGTTTCAATATTCTACCTATTGATGGTTACGATTTGGTTACCGGAGGTCCATTTTTGAAGTAAGGACAACGGAGCTAATGTCAATTACATATCGATAGTAATCAAATCTATCGTTGTAATGTTTTGTATATACGTCATAACCTTAATTATTACCTAAAGAATAGTGACAGACATAAAATAAACACTAGAAATAAGGACAAACTTACTACGCCATTGTTTCGTCTACAAAAAGTAAATAAGTCGTTCATGGGGCAAAGTGTGCGCATGTATAATAAAATCCCACAGTCGATATTTAGTCTGCCGCTTGACCAATTTAAATGTAAAATTAAAAATCAACTGATGTTTAAAGCATATTATACCATTTCGGAATATCTCGACGACGCCATTGTGTGGAGTTAATACTGTTGATACTCACGTAGGCTAGAATAAGACTATTATACCTGTATATTATATTGTACCCTGATATTTTTGAAAAAGAGCAACTGTTGAGTTTCTTGCCGGTCTCTTCTCATCAGAAACCGCTTTCCGAACCGGTGGTACCTTACGAACCTATACACATAATCTTTGATGTAAAATTTGACGATTCATACGAGCGCGCAAGCGTCTATTTGAATAAATATATTTTTGATTTTGATTTGATTTTGATTTTATCTGTAGATAAAATATTGTAACCGACCGTTTGTATATAGTGTAGGTATACAGTAGTATCTACAAGTGAAATTAATAACCTACACAATTTTGTTATAATTAAACATACCTACTACGACAACGATGATTTTCATGATGAAACTGGCGGTCCTCTCGGAGATGGGCATGTTGCACGCAGGCCTTATCAGGTCTTCGAAGATAACGCCGCACATGGAGTTCAGCCCAGTGGACATGGAACTGGAAGTCGCCATCAATTACAATTACTTAATTGTCATATGAAGAAACATTAAATATAAAAAATATTAAAAGATAAAAATCGATCAGTATCGGTGATCGATCAGTGCTGACTGAAACGGGTACTATATCATCTTCTTGCTTGTATCTTTTGTAGGTACGGCGGTACACTAGGACAAATAATATGATGTGGTATTAACAAATACCACATCGTATTTGTGGTAACGGTCGCCCGCATGACATTACCCTTCCTGTAAATCCCTGACCCTCGTGTCTTTTTGATATTTGCCAGATCCCAGATCGAAATTATATCAATGGATGACTCAAATACATGTCCCTTGTACGGATTACACCTAATTAACCTGATTAACTTATTATTATTGTGGGGATATTCATTTGTTTTCTCGTCTGGTTGGGTTTAGAAATAAAAATAAAAATATAGATATATATTGCACATATAGAATAAATATTATGGATAAAACTAAACATATTATTATTATTATCATTTAAAAACTGTACGTTCGCTCAATTACCCCTTGTTTCAGCTTAGATGATGTTTAGATATAAGATAAATCGTTAAGTATGTAAGTAAAGTATTTTGTAGGAAGTAGGATAGTTGGGAGTTAGACATCTTTTGCTACCAGAAGTGCACTTAATAAAATGCTTTTTTAGGTTTAAACGTTTTAAGCCTATTCATGGTTCCACCACTAGATCATCAAACCTCTAATGGGCGTTCTCAGCTAATAAGATATGAAAATTTGAATTATTTATTGTACCATTTTCTCAAAATAGGCACGGAGGCTGAGTATTTATACTTTACCGTTTTATTGGTTGACATACAGCCTGTAACATATTTGACGTTAAAATCTAATATATAAAATTCTCGTGTCACAGTGTTTGTAATTGAACTCCTCCGAAACGGTCGACCTATTTTCGTGAATTTTTTTGTGTGCCTATCGGCCAGGGTTGAGAATCGGACAACATCTATTTTTCATCTCCCTAAATGTTAAGGGTGGTCCACCCCAAACATTTTTTTCTACCATACCAATAATTTATATGGCAAAACAACTTTTACTGGGATAGCTAGTATATTATAATAAACAAAATAAATGTAAATAGTTTATTCAATTGAATTCGAATAAATAGAATCAAAAAATAAAATCTAATAAATGCCTAGCATATCGCATTGCGCCCACATCGTTTGCAAGACTTTCCTTTAATACTTACAAAACGGTTCAAGTCTAATTTTATTTTTATTAGACTTTGTTAAATACTAGCCCGAAAAGATATTCAACAATTTTGCGTGACATTGTTGTGTAATGTATATGCAAACATCTAGAAGCAACCTATGAACTGTGCGCCGTTGTACTTAAGTCTACCAATGAGTTTCGCGATGGAGATTTCAATTGTCCATGCGCTTTGCGAAAGTCTAATCAAAAAATGAATTACCTTAGGGCGGCACTGAAGACCCCACTCATGAATATTCCAGGCAGCGCTGGAATCGAACCGGTAATAGTCATCACGAAGTAGGGCAGCAGCTGGTCACTCTTGCGGATCGCTCCAGTGGAGAGCGGATCGCAGCTCTCGAATGTGGCGTAGATCACGAGGCCAGTGTAGCAACACAGTGAGACGATGATGAAAATACCGGCAGCCATGATGAATATTGTTCTGTAAAGAGATAACATAGATCTATTTTCTCCGCACTTTAGGAACTATTATAATTATTATATAACTAGCATTACATGGCACAGAGAAAACAAAATCCATCATGCTCAGTTTGTCCATAGTTTTTATATAGTCAAGTCAAAGTCAAAGTATATTTATTCAATATAGGCCTAACTTAAGCTCTTATTGAACGTCAACAAAAATCTACCACCGGTTCACTAAACTAGACCTGCACAGAGAAGAACCGGCAAGAAACTCTGCGGTCTTGTTCTTTTTGTTATATATATATATTTTTAATGCAATTATACACACTTATTTGGGTATAAAATCAGCAGCAGCCAGGGGTCTTGCAAGTGCAGAGCAAGAGTCATTTCCAAACATCCTTGTCCTCTATGTATTCTTGGATATTATAATAAGCCCTTGCCATTAAGGTAGCTTTTATAAATTGTTTGAAATTGTTTATACTTAGTTGTTTGTGGATGTCACCTATTTTATTATAGTTTCTAAACGAACAGGTCTTGTACCGATTTATTTTGAAAGAATCAAAGAAGAAATAAATAAAAGAGACACCGCCTATACTGCTCGATGCCAGGAGTTAATCAAATCTTAATGTTAGAAGTTCGTTAGCATATATTATACAGCGTGTCGTTACCATCGCGACAATAAATGAACACACGTCTAACGCAACTTACCAATAATCAAAAAAAAATATTAACGTTTGACAAAATCCATAATTAAAAAAAAATATTTTTCAAACAAACTAATTAAATAAAAAAAGAAACAAAATTTGTAACATCCTATACAACGAGCGCCACAGCGTCGCATTACAAGCCTCTCCTTCTAACAGTATGTTTTGTCTCTTTTAAATTCATTCAACCCATTCATATCTTTGTGACCTTTACAAATGAACTTTAGGTTACAGTTTTATACGTAAGGGTGTTCTAAAATTCTTTGTTTTGGAAAATTTTATAACTCGGTAAATATTGATGTTTAAAGAATGTAAATGTTTAATACAATTTTTAAAAGTTATCCTCTATATGCGTGTTCATTTATTGTCGTGATGGTAAGGACACGCTGTATACAATACTAAATGAATTTTCCTGAAATGGTCCCATTTATGAAATGTAAATCAGACCATTTCAGGATAAAGCTATACGCGATAGAACGAAAGAAGAATTTTGCAAATCCGTACATATTGAAGGGTTCACATTTTTTATGTATGTTATGCCCGGACATACTAAAAAAGTATGAACATCCGATGAACAACCGAGAACCACCTCCCTTATGAAGTCTGTTTAAAATACAATATACCTATTCATTCATTGGAATGCGTTATTTTATTGGTTTAATCCTTTTTTCGTAATGTATACTTATAAAGAACTAGCGACCCGCCCCGGCTTCGCATTGGTGCAGTATTATACATATAAACCTTCCTTTTGAATCACTCTATATAGTAAAAAAAAAACTGCATCAAGATTGCGTAGTTTTAAAGACCTAAGCATACATATGGACAGACAGATAGCGGGACGACTTTGTTTTTATACTATGGATACGCACATTCTCGCTCGTTTCAAGGAGGAGAGCGCCAGGCACCGTTGCACCATCGCTTGGTTGACAGAGCACGACGCCAGCCAACTGAAGTAGTTTCCGAACACGGTGGACCAGAAGCTATGACGGATCGTCGGGTCCGGGTCCATACTACATGTAACAGGCACAAGTTATGAGTGTTTCATGTTTTGTCAAGCTTAGGGTACATTACTCCTATTAACAGATTGATTAAATCCTTCAATTTATTAAGTAAGGAAACAGAGATGGATATTTATGACAACAATATATCTAAATTCAGACATACTGGTACAATAAAACTGTACTTGACTGCCAATAATCATGTTATAAACTCTAAATATCGTCACGATTCAATATATATATATTTTATTGTAACAATTTTTAATCATATTCTTTATATACTAGTGTTTTTTTTCTTTTTTATTGTACTTTTACTTTAATGTTTAGATTATTACAATGTTCATATTTCACCTTTACTTTAGTAAAAATTTTATGGTTTTGTCTCTACTGTCTGTTAAAAGTAGTTTTACCTACCACTCATCACTTATTTGTAAGCCTGGCTTATTAATTCTGTTTCGGGGTGTACTTTATTGGTGATAAATAAATAAATAAGTGAATAAACATCACGATCCCGGCTAACCTCTTTTGTCTCTTCCACGTGCACACATCTAAACTTATATGCAATTCACTTACGAGACGTATATACTCCGTATATCAGAATATAGTCAATCCACACCCGCATGACGCGTTCTTCGCAGTATTGAGTGGGAAACCACTTACTTTCACAACGTAATTTGATTTCATCAGTATCTTTACAACCATCGTTTCCGTGTCCTTTAAAAACAGGTCCCCAGCACGGAACGTTTTTTATGTCTCTTATTTACACGAATTTGCAATCTCTCAACTATTAATGTGGTACTTAATAGTGGCCAGTTTTTTACGCCATCTATTTTTTTTTAAATATGTGAATTCAAAATAAATTGCAACGAAGATAGACCGACCAATGAGGAAGCGTTTAAAACTTGTCAAAATAATTTTCTGAAGTGGGTAAAGTGCAACAACGAACATTTCGCGGTCATCAACCATTTACTTTCACTACGTAGTTATTTCACACTGAAGAACGTTTCGCGGTCGTCAACCAGTGAAAGTATCACTTCGTCGTTATTTCACACTTTAAAGAAAAGAGATGGCAGCTTTATGCAAGGTCTAAATTTTCAGGGGCTGAAGCCATAAGACTAATAAATTTATTTTTTTCGGTTTCGAGAAAGACACGAGGCCCCAAAATATTGTTCGAAATTTAAAATTTAAACTAATTATGTTTGGGAAATTAGCTAGGTAAAATGTTGTTTAAATTTTACAGTGATCAATTAAGGGAAGTATATAAGCTGATTCATTACTTCACATATTGGTTTTGCATTTATGATGTTACTAAAGTATTTAGTTTAATAACATAATAACCTGTTGTTAAGTTTGTTAACAATACTTATATCTTCTTACCAAAAAAAGTAGTCTTTTACAGCAGTTGTGCTTATTTTTAGATTGGCGAGAGATATGAATTGGATTGTATTAAATGAAGCATGCTAAGTTTGATTCGTCTTTTGTATAGGGAAATGTTTACTTGAAAAACTCGAGCCGCTGGCCCTCCTTGTTGACCCTTAGTACGTCGCCGACGCCGCCGAGGCGCCAGGTGCCGTAAGCGAGCACGAACACCACTCCGAAGTACATGATGACCGTTTGCAGAGTATCGGTCCACACAACGGCCTTCAGACCACCCTTTAATAAAATCCCACTCTTCTTAGTTGTCTCATGATAAGTTTTGCATGACAAGAATCTAGAACCGGCAAAAGGCCGTGAAATTACGTATGTTTCATTCGAACCCTACAGCCTGAGGTCTGGAAATACAGTAGAAGAATTTCTAACTATTTTTAAAAATTTCTCACACTTACAGTATTCGGGATTGAAATTGGAGAGAAATTAGCACGATCGCTACTCTATAAAATTCTAATGGACTTTTTTACTAATTATTTTAAAATTTTAATAATTAATTATAAATTTATTTTAATACGATTTTTGCAATGGTCGTGGTGCATTTTTAATAGATGTAAGCGTAACCATCTGAGCCGTGATAGTTCGTTGTCCGGGCGCTCGCATTTAATTCGATATACTCGAGCAACCTGAGTTCGATCCCTGGTGCCGGTACCAAAGAAATTGTTAATTTTAAGTGCTGATTTATTACGCGCTCAGCGGTAAAGGAAAACATTATGAGGAAACCTGCATATTTTCGAGAATTTTTTATTCATTATTTACTAAAAAGAGTATTTCGAAGATATGCGAAGTCCACCAATCCGCAGTGGGGTCGCGGAGGACTATGCCCTAATACCCTCTGTACGGAGGACGCATTTGCCCAGCAGTGGAACATTTACAGGCTTTTGTTATAACTACTAAAAGTGTTGTTCACTTCAAGATGGCCACAATACATGGCCAACATATATAGTAAAATATGTTGGCCATGCATTATGGCGTATCACGCGACGTCCGAAACGAGCTGGCCTCACTCCGGGACGCCGTGGGACTTGAGAGGCAGGCGTGCGCCAATTCGGCCACCGGAGGGGATTGAATAAGGTCAACACTCGGCGTAACGACAGAAACGTACTCACTAGTGTCGTGTAGAAGATACACACTACGCACACAATGGGCGTTATCATGTGCAGGTTGATCCCCGTCACTGTGAACAGAGCAACTGTTGGCGTGATCGGGGCACTGGATGGGGCGTACCGCGCTGGCACGAATCGTCAGCTTACAACAGGCAAGTCAGAGATTCCATTTAATAGTTTGATCATATGGATAATGCAGCTTAGAAAAATGAATCAATAATAACTTTGATGTCACTCAGGAATACTTCGGGTCCTTTTAACCAGTGAAGTAACTAATTTTGGTTAGCGTTGATGTGTTTCAAAGTATATCTCAAAAGCGGGATATTAAAATGATCACCTTGACTAAACGCCAGAGCAGGGACGTAAATCACGATCGGGATGTACAGCATCATCTTGATGATGAAGATGATTGAGCCCAGCAGTCGTACTTTCTGGTTGAACCTGAGACGTAAATACTGAAAAAGGAAAATTTGGTCAATTGTAATATGGAATAAAGGTTCGTTAATGTATTAAAGCTTCAAGTTTTCTCGGAATTCTCATAAACAATACAAAAGGTTTTGTCTGAGTATGAGATTTTATATTTAGATTTAACATGGATTGAAATATCCGGGGCGGTTATGCTTAGTTTATACAGACTAGTTGTATAAACTATTCAAATGCCATTATGATTACCCTGACTCACGAGTTTTAACTTTAATTATTCACAAATTTTGCATAAATATATACATATTTATGTCCCATATCATGTGTTTAGCGTGGTAGAATTAATGGTTGGCGCTATTCTTAATTTTATATTAGTTATGTAGAGTATTAGTCTATTTCTACGCAAAACGTAATCTACTAAGTCTATTCACAATAATACAGAATGTGTATTCTACTTAGAATATACATTTTGCTATTGCAGCATTTTCTTGGCGGCTCTTTCCGAACCTACATTAAAGCCATGGTCATTGTGTTACTACCCCTTTTTTGTATAACTTCGCATACTGAGCACATTAGGAGAACGAACCCACGAACCCCTATATTATAGCAAAATGCATGCAATACATAACTCATTCTCTGGCCAAGATATGTTTAGTAAAATGTATGTTATAAATTTTAACACTCTCATGTTTTGAACATCAGGGACACAAAAAGGTTTGGGCTAAATTTATATATTTTTGAGGTAAATATTAAGTTTGTTGACATAATATGTTTGCTGTTGGCGCATACTTTTAATAATGTCATTGAATAACACTAATCCACAGCACAGCATTGGCATTGGTGAAGACGAAACATAAATGTACAAATAGAAACGTTGACTTTAAATGTATTTATATTATATACAATTATTAAAACTATTCTAAGGCATCGCATTTCAACTTCATCTAATCGCTTTGTCAAGTTCAATTTTAGACACAGTACCTCATAAGTGGAAGTGATCTGAAGGTTGTAGAACACGGGCAGATATACCACCGCGATGGTCGCCGAGACCGCCCATTCGGACAGCACGATGGTCCAGAGCTGAGTGCCGTACGTATACATCTCAGCAGGTAGGCCCAGCAACGAGATGCCCGATATGTAACTGAAATTACCCTTAAACTCTTAGCGGGACATTCGCGGCTGTTCGTAATCATTTTCGCTTAGAGAGGCAAGCGGTCATCGGCATCACGATACCTGGCGATGAGCGACATGGATATCGGGAACATGCCCATCGTCTTCCCGCCCATGAGGTACTCGGCCGTCGTGTTCTGCTTCTTCGCCGCGAAGAAGGCGAAGTAGACGCCGATGAGGGCTGAGCAGAGCAGCATTGCCCCGAACACTAGGTAGTCGAGCCAGTCGAAGAACACCGTCATGGTTGGTGGTCGCTTGTCGCTCGCGTCCGCACTACGCCGCGTCCAGGCACCATCTCGGCCCGACGCCCGGACGTAGCCAGGAGCGGACGCCGGCTATATTTATCCTTGGAAGGATCTCGGAATGGGCCGGCCATTGGAGGGATGAGAACGGCTAATTGGCTATTTACCGGTCCGCGCAACTCGCCGCGCCTCGCCTAGATACGTTAATCGCGCGCCACGTAAGACGCCCGGATTGCGACGCCCCGCATGTACGCGATCCGCCATACGATCTCCCTATTATATTGCCACCGAATGGCAAGGCATTTAAAATGAACTGGATATATGATCTTTTGTCTGCCTGTTAGCAATCGATTCTGATTTTTTTGATTGTACAACTTCCTTGGGGTAATTTTCGCAATTAGCTTGTGTAGATTAAATTATCTTTGGTAGTGTAAGGATATCACAACAGCTGCGGGTAAAGGCGGGACGAAATGCAAACGGACCGTCATGTCATTTATAAAGCAAATTTACAAAAGCCACAATGTAGAGAAAACAAGGAAAATATGGTTTTAGAGTTTAATAAAATTTTAAGATAGTTGCAATCATCATGTAAGGAAGTTGTAACTGGACTGCTTACTTTGAAAACACAGATTACTTAGGAGGTCATTACCATATTCTGACATTTATGCAACCATGTGGTAGTGACCAAATCAAATGAAACACTAAGAATAGTAACGAAGCAATATAGGACGGGTAAACTGGAAGCCCAGTGGTCAGACTAGTCCCTCCCTGTTTTATATAGACACTGCACTTGACGAAACGTAATTATTTCCATTTTGGCAGTCAACAATGCAATGATATGCATTTTGAAACACTAGTTTACCATTTATCTGGCGTAAACCCCCAAATCGATCTCCAAATGTACAGCAGGAATTTAGTCTGAAACGAATAACGTAGCAACGTGAGGCCTATGGTCTATGGTGGACTATGGTCAATAAATGCTTGCACTTTAATCAAAAATGCACATATGTCTTACTCTTATATGGCAGTTTAATACGATTTATTGGCGGCTATTTAAAAAATAACTATGAAATCCCAATAAAATCACAACTTTAACCCAGTACTAGCGTGAAACTTACGCATAACTATAAACTCATTATTATTAGTGTGGTGGAAAATTTGCTAGAAAAACTTTTCATGTCGAAAATATTTTTGAAATAAGGACAAAAATAATATTTAGAAGTTAAGTGAAGTCCGTCAGTGCGTTGTGGGGTCGCGTGGTGGATTATGCTCCAATGACCTTTCTACGGCGGAGTCCTTTGCCCAGCAGTGGGACATAGAAAAGATTTTAGTTTACCTTTTTGCCGTACGCAGCTGAGATTCAAACCGGTGACTCAAAATAATAGGCCTGATCTCTCTCATAAGGCTGACAATTACTCTCACATAAACGGGTAAAAGTGAAGAATGTAAAGTGAGAACTGATATTGAAACAAAAGGTGTATTCTATTAGATCGTTACATTTAGCATCCGGAGACCCGCATGAAGGAAGGGCAGGATCGTGTGCGGGGTCAGAAATAGCCGCGGATACATTGGATCTACTTAACCACATCGTGTGGGCTAACGCATCAGCGCGGTCACTTACTTACCTAAACAGGACGCAGAGGGCAGCGTTTCTTGCATAACAGTTATGTGTATTTCTTCCTGTGCCCATTTTGTACATACTTTAATTAGCGTGCCCGGCAGCAAATAGATCGACTTTCGAAGCTTCGCGTTCTCCCAACATAGCCACAGATCATCGTGGCGATAAAACAGAATCATCGGTTTATGAGTTGATGTTATCGCCAGTTGAATCACGTACAGTTATTGCATAATACGAGATGTGGAGACAGATGTATCGCTATCTCACTCACAGATAAAGTGGCAAAAGGCAATTTTAATTTGGCAGCGGCACCGAGGATTGTTTGTTTGATTCTCACACGGGACAAGTATATGTGTGCCCCACAGATAATTTTTCGGATATAGGTGGTTGTTTTCCAAGGTTGATGTCAGGTCAGCTGGCCGGTCGTAAAAACATGGCGAAAACCGCTTACAGCATGATTCACATGTCGTGCCGACCTCGCCTACGTGGGATAAGGTCTATAGCAGAGGTGGCCAACCTTTTTCAAAGCAAGTACGCAATGAAAATTTCTTACATTTAAGATTTTACTCATTTAATTTCTGACAAACATCGGCTAAAACTGATAAATCATATCGCAAGCTAGGATCTTCAAAAATGTTATGAATTTCCCCTTTTTGTTATCAACATATGCTTTTAATAAAACAATCAAATCGAGAAAATGAACGAAATGATTATTACTTACTTTTTAAATTATTTTAATATGGTTCAGAAAACTTTATTCCAGTGAATGCCGCGCCTTTCGCCTCATTCAATTATTCTCACAGCCTTAAATCGAATTACGTACAATATATATTTAACAAAATTAATGCTATAAACTCTAATAATTTAACCCACATGCATAGGTTGAGATTACTATGCTATTCGTAACACATTGTTGTTGTCTACTTGTGACCATATGATTGAGCGTGGACCGGATAATTGTACCATCTCCGGCATGAATTTTCTAATGAGACTTTTAACACGTTTATCGGTTTTTAAAGAATATTCTCCAAATATTAAAAAGTATGAATGATAACTACACAAAGTATTTCATTACGAACAGAGTCTTGGTAACTTTGAATGTTGAAATATGTTCCAGATGTATTATTGTGTATAGAACCTAAGCACCTTCACGCTCTCAACCGCTCTCTACCCCAGTCTGATTCAAGTGAGCCCTGAGTAGTAGTCAGCGCAATAGGTCTTACTTCCTTTAGACCATAGTGTCTAGAGTGATACTCGAGACGATTTCCTCTATAAATTGCCATAACAGATGTGTAATACGACTAGAATATCATCTGCTCGTAGCTAGACATTGTTTGAGTCAAGACGGTGGGTGGGTGGCCTTGGGATAAAAATAATACACAATTTTCTTTACACAGTTTATTTGGCTGACAATATCTATTTGGGTTTAGAACATTAGCCCGGAGTGCTACAGGCGGTGTACTGTCTAGGCATGGGATGCGATGTGCGAACTACGCATTACGATATAATTGAACATTGTCATACAGAGTGAAGCGAGGTCTAAGTCCAATAAGTCTTAATTACCATACATTTACACTCAATGAGTTTATATAATGCAAGGGCTCATAAAACTTACGTCAGTAAAACAAAATCTGTAAACAATCAACAGATAAACAAGACACAGGCCAAAGTTATGTAATCAGTAAATACAAGTCAAATTAGAACAAAATCAATACAAAATTTAAAAATAGTTAAAGCAATACAAATAACTGACGAAAACAATTTATTAGTCATGAAAATACAATCATAATTAGACAAGTTATATTTGAATAGTATTTAGACACAGATTTTGAAGTGTTAATTTATAAAACAAGTAAAGTACTTTTTATATTCTAACAGTGTTAACGGTGACAGTATCTATGTTAGTGAACTTACAGTTAAACAAACCTACTTACGGAATCTATGTGAAACAATTCAAAGGAAACGAACATAATCCATTCATCTGCATTTGACAATGACAAACCTTGACGCCTGCCGGCACCCTGATACGATGTTGTGTAAATCCATTGTTTGCAAATTTTAGAACAATTTTTATTTTTTTTTGTTCGTCCTAGTCGAAGAATATAAAATATTTACAAGAATAAGATTACAATCAAATTGTTACCTTAAGGAGCCTCACTAAATTTGAATGGCGTTAAGATTGAGGAGAAGCGTAATTTAATATAAAAACAACAATAACAGGCATTTTTTTTAAAAACATAAACCACATCCGAAAGTGTTAATTATGGTTTAGACTGGCTGTACTAGGAAAGTGACAGTATTGAGCGGAAATGAGAAGGTTTTAGATTTTGCACGTGAAAAATATCAATAGTTTCTTTCCAAGTAAGGTGTCCACATCGGGTATAATCTTGCATGTGTGTGGGTGTGTTTGGCGTTGTGTGAGTGCGGCCGGTGCGGGTGGCGCTGCCGGATGGAACCTTGGCCAGTTGTTAGTGGTGAGCGCAGTGTAGGTACTCGATTCTGCAGTTGCCTTCTTCACGTTCTATGTTAGCGTGGTCTAAAAATGGACACAATAGACATCGATTGCACTAAGAGCGCGTCCGCATTCTATTGTGCCTGCGAACTGTACACAACTCAGTTAATAGGTACAGGCGCGGCGACGAGCCCCACACGTTTCGGTTGTTAAGCGCGCTCGAAACTAACTCGTGTATTCTGTTAGTCCAGGGTCGAAATTTCTGTTGTGATTTTTCGGAGTGCAGTAGCATCCTACGTTCCTTATTTTCCTCTTCGCTGTGCCATAGTCCGAGTGGTAGGTCGGTAAATGTTTAATGTTAATGTGTTAATAATATTATTAAAAATCGAACCATGCTGATGTTAAGGGCGGAATCGCGAAAGCAGTGGGATAGAGACAAAATTTTTAAAGTTACATATTCAAACCTGCTTCGCACTCCGCAATCAAAGGAATCCTTACAATTTTATACAATTTCAAGTTCGGTTGTGGTTGGAAATGTTAAGGCCAGTTCTGTATAATTTGTTACTCGGTTTAATTCTAGCATTGGATTTCACAAAGTCCAATGGAACCACAAGTTGTTAGTACACATTTCGTGATAAATTGATAGAATTTAGTCAATCAAACTTCTCTAGATACGCATCGGTGTTAAAGTTTCTAGAATTCGTGATGTTGAACAGTATCAATGTTATATCATTGGAGCAAACGATTCGTCATCGTCGGACTATACAGAGATGATTCGGTAGCGTTCAATAACAAACCAATCAACCTTCGCCCGCATCAGACCGGAGAGATATCTAAAGAGCCGCCGTATGGAGGAGGTCCCAGTTTTGGTCGCGGTAAAAATATTTAATTTTGGAATCTTTGACTTCTGGCCAATTAATTTATTAGTTTTTACGCAATGGCAGCGAGCGGAGGTTCAAATCAATTGAACAAACAATTTGCAGTGTCAAACAATCGTCGCGAATGAACCGTAAAAATAAACATAAACCGGTAATGATGGAAAACAATAGAGAACGGAATAAAACGGTCAACGTTTGATGGTCGGACGGTCATTCACATCGACTACTGTGTTATCGTCGAGTGGACCGTGTAAATACTTGGAGTGCTGTTGCGTCCATAGTCGCCGAGCTGTCGTTGCGGGAACGGAACGCGATAGGCCGGCACGAGTGCACTCAATACCGAAATCGTTGGCAGGCGGCAGCTGGTAGGAAAGGCGTGAGCGACATTTCGCATTTTGCTTTCAAAATTCGCGGTGGAAACAAAAATCTATGAAAACTCATATCCCGTTTGATTTTTTTTTCGTTTGCCCGGATGAGAGTGAAAAACGTCGGTGCATATCGTGCCGGCTGATTGATGACCGGTCTGCAATCCTAATCGCGGAACTAGACATCGGCAGCGCCTAGACATTACGCACTAAGTAAGCGAAGCACTGGGGTGGGAAGTCATAATGTCTAAAATCACGGTATCAGCACGGCGATGAATGCCTAGGCCCACACCGCCAGTGCCTCGCAAATCACACGGAGTACCTTACAATTACGCGCCTATTTAAGATAACCTATTACAGTTAAAACGTTCGACTTAAATACCTTAACATTATCTAAGTTTAGAATGTATCGTATCCGTTTCGTTACGTTAATTTCGATTCGGTGTTTGCAGCCCGTAGCGGGAGCCGCGCTTGTACTCGAGGGTTACAATAAGTCTTTTGTCGAAGTCGCACCTGAGCGGTTGCTGAGGTATGGTGGTTTATTTTAGGTCACTTAAGGTAAAATCACAAGGGGTCAGATCGCACGAGGTCAGATCATATATGAGGTATTTGTTATCACTCGTCCTAGCATCACATTTAATTTATTTTCTTCAATATGGAAATAAGGACCCCAACGGCCCCCGCACTGCGTATAGCTGATTTCGAGGCACGTTGGGGGAGTAAATCATCACATTATTGCACAATTGGTTTTACCGGCCCTAGATTTAAGCGGTCGTTATCAAACTTAACATTTAACTAGCATTAAAATCTTATCTTTAGCATATTCACATCACCACGACTATATAATATTGCCAACAATGTTATATTTATATAGCAACGTGTATCTATTTAACTAAATCCATATTGCAACAATATCACTAAGGGAGGTTACACGGGCAATTTCCAAATCGCTGGTCCGCCATTGGCGCCACCGGCAAACGCGCTACCCCTTCACGGGTCTCTCAATCGAGATGACGTCACCACTCCTGCTGTGCTCTAGCTAAAGCCTTTGCTCTTGGTGTGTGCGAACAAGTTAGCTAAGTTATTTTGCGTCAGCTTGGCAGGCGATTGGAGACAAAGGGTATCGCTGGATGTTATTGCTTAGAGCGCTGGCTTTGAAAGTAGCGGGGCGGCTCTTAACGGGCCAGGACTGTTCGTGTACCTAAATGAGATGTTTCCTGATTTACACTAATTCCTTGTTTAACCTCAACGTAACAAACGAGTATTCAGTCGGCTATAACGGTTAATTATTGCAACAATTAAATCTACAGTAACGATGCCTATAATCTCGTCTATCTCATTCCAACAACTCCTAGGCACTAGGAATTAAACTATCAGCAGTGATGCGGTTGTATCTTAAATTAATTGCATTGCTTTCTAATGCGGTTAATAAACGATGCGGCGCTTGTGCAGGATTTTAAGGCAAGTTACAAAACAAATGGTTTTCTCTGCCCCGCGCTGCAGCCAACGATGGTCTTATTCGATCTGCTAATCAGGGGCAAAGTCTTTCGATTGCCAGCAATATGTTATCAAATCGGATGACATCAATATATGTAACCTAATGGAAACTATTCGGAAACTGTTCGGGTGTTCGGAAATTTTTAACGTAAGCCGAATGGTTTTGAAATTTGGAGCGCACAAGCGCCGCAGTGTGTAAGGCGCTGTGTGAACGTTATTGCTTGTAGAAACCTAATTTAACACCAAAATCACATACGCCTAAAATAATTATTGCGGACCTGCAGAACGACATATGAAACGAGAGACCGCGCAGACTACCGACTAGCACCGGCTGGAATCTGCTTAAACAGAGGCTCGAGGAGAGCTGGTGATTATTTTCCCATGTCTAAGGGGGTGAACTGAAGAGCGCAGGCTCTCCCGCGGCAGTCCTGCCAGCAGACGGGTGCCTATACGTCCAGCTAATTCAGGGCTGTTCCACAAGTGAAGCGTGCAGTCGCCCCTTCGAGCGTAGCGCAGGCCTAGCACCGGGTAGTGGGTGTTAGAATAGCCCTGAGGTGGTGAGACTATTCGAGCAAAGTGAGACTGGACTAATGCTCGCTGTGCCCTGGCGCTGACTGAATTCAGATCAGCTTCACGGTGTTGCCACAGTACTAGCTGACGTCGCGCGAGCCTCAAAATGATATGGTTAGCGTTAACGTTAACAAACGGCCAATCGCAAATCAATACCTTAAATATTATTACATACAAACTAAATGTAGTTGCCTGCAGGGCACTTATTAGAATACACGTAACAATTTTAAGTAATTATATTAAGGAACACAACGAATTTACAACGCAAAATCAATCCGTGGCGTATCTCATGAGTGGTTTTAAGACCTAAATTTTAATACTATACGTTGTCATTGCTTACGTTACATGAGATTGAATAGCGGTCTATAAGATACGAGTCTACCATTCACACGGATTGCAAGCCAGATATTTTCGTGTACTAAAACATTCTACTGCCTAGAATCTAAGAACACATGCAAGCCACGCCCAGCCGAGAGGCAGCCAGAATTAGCTATATTATACCTACATATAATATGCTAACCAGAAATATCGACTTTAAAATATGAAGAAAAATTTTAACGTCAATAATAATTTCGGAATAAACTTCATCAATTTTTAAACCATAACGATCCATAATTTATATATTCAGATATTTGCCAGAAAAATAAACATCTGCCATAAATATACTATATCTGTGTATTTAGAATTTTCCGCCATTATGAATATAATGCGTGCGGTGAACTCTTGCAGTCTGATTGAACACATGTGATTGCAAATTAACCAATTCTATCACAACGTCATCAAACAAATCAACTGTCAGAATTAAAAATAATTAAAGTAAACAGCCAATTAAATCTAAATTAAGTGAAGGACGGAAAATAATCTTAAAATGTAACAATTAAACTAAAAAACCGTAAGTGTATCTCAAATCAGTAGTAAGTCAATGATAATTAAGAAAAAGAAACGACAACCGAGAGTCAAATTAAGTACACAAATTAAGATTTTAAAGTTGAAAGTACGTAAGCACGAATTAAAAAAAAAAAGATCAATGACAGGTCCCTCTATACTAAAGGCGCCGCTGTAAGCGTGTTTAGTGTAGAGAGGCGACTAGTGTGATCGGTTGCAATGGTTAAGTTTGAGATAAGGCGATTCATATCACAAAAAATATCCCTATAAGGCTCTCGTTGGTGGCCTCGATCCTCCACATTCACCTGTTCCTAGATCCGATGTTGACCTTCTCATGCATGTGTTAGCGCGTGAAATTTTGCGTCGGTGATGATCTAATCGGTACAATATGAGCCTCACGCTCAGGGTTATTGCTATAGGGGGTGCGGGGCTGATGAAGCCGGGGGGGACGGCCGGATACTTGGCCTCGACTGGCTTTGGAGAAGATTGGCCAGTTGATCGCCGACATCCCGACACCACCTCCGGACAGTACCGAGGCTAGGGTGAGAACGTGAGGTTCAGCATGAATGAATGGTAAGACTTTCGTGATTATTCGTATTTCTAATGACCTATCACAAAAATTTACTGATAAGACGCGTTCGTATAGGTAGTTAATAAAAGGGTTGACGATGAATGCCAGAACGTGTCAAATATCAGTAAATTCACTAAGTCGATATACTAACGAATACAATTATCAAAAACCTATTGAGCAATGAGGTAATAAGGCGCTCAGGATTTAATTGTTATCGTTATTTAAATTCATTTTATTTGTACATATTGTTCACGCCTAAAGAGCCGAACTTCAATAATCGTCGGGGGCAGTGTGTAGATGGAAGCCCATTTTACTAAATAAACAGTTCACTATAAATCGACGTCCTAATTCTGGGTCTGTGTTTCCAGTTTAAAACGGCCCTGCCGATAGTCACGGTAGCTGTCGCTAAGCAGGGGTCGTGCGATATGTTCAAGCTCGTGGCAAAGGTGGACGCCAACAGCCTGTGAGTGCAGCGGGTGGTAATTGAGTCGTCGGCTGCAAAGGCCGTGTGCACGTGGGGAGCAAAGAGCTGTCGGCGGCAATCAGTGGCCGCGAGGTGGCGCAGCAGTGCGCTGGTAGTGGACCCGCCAGGAAAGCAATCGAGCCATCGAGCAGGTGCCGAAACATTTCATTCCCGTGTCCTAGATGGATTCTTTCCTTGTGTGCTAGTGCCCCGATTGCATTAGCTTAAAGATGCGCCTTTGCCGCGTCGCTTTATCATTTGACACCGACACGTGCGGAACTGCTTGTTGCGAACTACAGGCGTCAACAACTTGTAAATAATGATGACTTTCATTTTTTAGGGTAGCAGTGACCTGTCGACGCCCGTGGATGGCAACAAGGTGCGGAAAACTGTTGGAAAATATGGGCGCAAACTCGATAAATTTGCGATTAAGACGCATCAATAAACGAACACTAGCATTCGCGATCGTTACATGCCGACTTTAAATTCGCTCATAAATCATTGCCTGATTCCTTTGTTTTCAAGTTGGTGATAAGGCGCGCCTGCACATGGCCTAAAGTTTCGTGAACGAAAAGCGGTGGTGAAGACGTTGTACCCTGCTGGATAGGAGGCGTTCATGTTCCGACTGCCCGTGCCCGATGTTTAATAGGCTGGAGTTGGTAGATGGTTTTGCGTATACCGTCTGAGCCGATAGAAGTCAGCAGGGCCAATCGCACGTCAAACCCTCGCTTCGTCCGTGAAAGGATGAGGCCGTATCCCCAACGAAGGCGAGCGCGCCTGTCGATTACCAAACGAAAGCTGCGTACCGAACTCGACCATCACCCGAAATCCTCGTATCACTAACGCGGTATCATATTGACATTCGAACAACAATTTGCCGTCGGAAGTCACGTCCGTGTCCTCGACCGGTTCTGATTCGATAATTGTGACGCTAAACAACAACTTAATTGTCCGCTTACATGTTGTCGTTATTTTTTTTTTATGGAAGACATTATTATTTGCGTGAAAACTTTAAACGGCTCATTATAATATATATCGGAATGCGTCCCGAGCCCTTTAACGAAGAAAACCGGTGACGGACCCTAGCCACTATCGACATGGAGCAAACGGCGAACGTCTCTGCGCTAACGCAGGCGAATGCTGAACAACTTTAGTCTTGGTGCAATGAGTTGTTAATGCTGCAGTAAGGTACGATCCATTATTACGCGCCTTTAAAGCCAAACGGAGGGCCGGCGTGAGGTGGTGGGCCTGGGCGGTGGTGACCGAGAGGCGATCGGTGGGCCTGTTGTTCTTTCCCAAGATAGATGGATGTGAGGCGCGATCTTACTCAGCCCTGCACAAGACTACAATTTACTAACCTTATACATAAGCTATTTTAATAAGACACCGAGTTCTTTCTTAAACTAGTTCGAATACTTAAATTTACTTTCCTTACACTAACTTTTTTTTTAATTTTTTAATTTTTTTAATTTTTTTTTTAATTTTTACTTTTTCTTTTTTCGCCACTACTTTTTTTGTATTTTTCACTTTTTTCGACACTACTTTTTTTTAGATTTTGTGGGATTTTATATTGTTTTTCGGTTTTTATTTTTTTTTTCACGCGCGGTACAAATCCGATTCCTAACTTTTTTTGGTCTCTACTTTTTATTTTTTACTTATTTTTTTGTTAAAATAGGATAAAAATAAAAGTATGAACTTTTATTTTTATCCAATTTTTGATTTTTATAAGCTTGTTTTTACGACGTTTTTTTATATTTTCAATTGTATTTTTTTTAAAATATCGCGTCGAGAGTTCCAAAACACGTCCCGTGGCGCCGTTAGCGGTCGGCTTTGAAACTCCGCTCGTTCGAATGTCTACATAACTACTACGGGTATTGCGTGTACACGGCACCGCCGCTTACGCCGCCGCCACGCAGTTTGTTCGGCGAAACGTACAGTCGCCGCATTAGGCGTGACAGGGCGCGACGTGCCGCAAGCGTAACCTACACTTACCTAACTTAAACTAAGCTTTTCGCAAATTACCACCCCATCCGCGGAGCAACGAACGAATGCCGAAAAGGATCGTTGAAGCTACCCAACAGAAGACTTGGAATTGGAAGAAGAATTGAGACAAGTCAACGGAATAATAACTCATCAACTTCTAAACAAATCATGGACCACGGAGTAGAGGGGAAGAACTTAAAGGAAGACAAGTTATAAAATATCACGAGAAGATCAAAGTTTTTAAAGCTGCTCTGTGTAAGTGAGAATATTCATCTCTTGCATACTGGTCTTCGTTGGATGGTGATCGAAATGAGAACTTGGCCAAATTTAAAATAGAGCGAGTAGAAGATTGAATTAGGTAGAAGGAAAGTAAACGATAGAAGACGGCAGGTTCGCAACCGGGGCCGTTGGCGGGGACGACGCTTATGCCCCCCTCATTCCGTTAGTTGAGCAGCCGCGTCCCGACCCGCAAGCGCCCGGTTTTAAGCTCCCTCTAACCTAAACTTGCAATCGATCGCGAAGGTACTTCAATTAAGGTCACTTTGAATTTCATTCGAATTTGTAGGTATGTTATAAAGGCGTTGGAAGCCCCGAGGTTGCCTGGGGAGATGGGGCCAAACTGGGAGACACGCTGAGACGGCGTGAAGCTGTTGAGTATTTTTTACGATCTACGGCCAGAGCACACCGCCTCTCGGGTTTCCGGCAAATTCGATCACGAATGTTGGTCGATCGGTAGACATATTGGGAACCGTCGAGAGGTGGCGGCCGAGCCACGTGTCACACCGTCCCAAGTGCGCTCCCCAAGACCTGAACAGACGCAAGTGTCGCGTAGCCGGATGTGGAACCGTCAAAACACCCACTCCCTAGTAAGAGCTCAGGGCCCGTATTTTGAGCAATAAAAACTATATATTCCTAAAAAAATATATCTAGCAAGTACTAAATTTCTTAATTCTCGTAATGCCATAAAGTCTTAGCCTAAGCGAGGTCCTGAGACCGAAATGGAACCAAAGAAGCGGTTCCGAAGAAGAATATCTATTCTAAAATCGTTCGGCCTGTCATTACTGATTGCTTTTACGAATTCACCGTTAACATGCACCCTAGACCCAAACACGTCGCAGTCCTGAGGTGTTTTGTATCACTGATGGTATGCGTTGCATTTGAAACTATTCAAACCGTAACCACGACGCACCGAAGGCCAAAGGGGATGTCACCCGATGATTATATATAATTTCACTCATTCTATAGAACTAAAAACTCTTATCTAACATTTATTCGTTGAACGCTGCCGAATATCAAACTACAACGAGAAACGTTATGCATGAAACATCGGTGCGGGTAACTTTTTTACTAATTTATATTGGGACAATTTCAGTCAAATTTCGGGAGACAAAATAAAGATCGAGGGGAGGGGGGAATTTACACGAGATATTAACGCGATTCACAATTACAATGGCAATCCGACGGAGGTATATTAAACGGTAAATCATAGGACTGAAATGCATGTAATTAAGAAACAGAAATAACTGAAAAGAATCGATTTCGATAAAAAAAATCCAACGGGGAAACTCCAAATGAAGCGGGTACCGAACCTTCTTTCTTTAATTCACATGCACATCACTCGTTGACCTCTAATCCATTTGGGGCAGTAAATGTATAAGGAAACAATGTTTGTTATTATTGCTATTCAAAATTAATTAGAATTTTCCGGAAGACTATCATTACCTTAACACCTAAACGATTACACATTGCGCTACATGATTAAGGAGCAGACAGATGTATAGAGCGAGTTAGCAACCGAATATACAAAACTGAACACGAACCATTTATTCCAATAAGTGTGTAGGGGAACTGAAAAACCTTAACCGACCAGAATTACTATTTACATGCCGACAAATAAAATTAAACTAAATTCAACAAAACGCAATACACGTAATTTCAATTTGGTCTAACTTAACATTAAAGGGGCCAGTAAAATGCGGCGTCTTCGAAAGCCCACGATGGATGGAACTCCGCCTCAGAGGGCAGGAGCAATTGCTATCTCCAGTAGCGTTAGGCCTTTCATGTTCCGTGCTGAAAACGGCAGGGCGTTCGGGCACCCGAGGTAATTCGTTATATTATGAGGTAGGTCTTACGGGTTGAGAAGGGCGCCAGGGAGCACGATCGCCACGCGGCATCGCACAGAACACAAGTTGGGTAATAACGTCAGCTCGAGAACAATCCAAGAACGCCACGACCCCTAAACTAGTAAAAAAATTCAAATTAACTAACAAACCTAACCATCTCTATGTAACGAAGAAGCGGAGAGCACGAGTAAACAGGAAGGTGAAACGGAGATAGGGAGGTGGGCTAAACCTAACCAGTTGTGGTTTATTGCTCACCCTAACAATAGGTTCTAAGGCACCATAGGTATTAGGCACCGCCAGCAGCCGTAGCCCACCACAAACGTGTATGGCAAACTAACATCGTAACAACAATTGGATTAAACCGTACTTGGGCTATGTACACTAGGAAAGCGGGGGTGAAGGAGCCAATGCGATGGCTTCGAAACGATAGAGAGCAAGCGTCAAAAGAACGAAACTCACATTCAATAACTAACCAAAGAGCGAGGTACGAAAAATACATTTCTAACGAACTAATTTAAAGCAAACGAATCGCAACGCATATTATCAAGCACACACAAATTGTAAACGACAACTTAAAAGATAATCGAGGAAGACACAGTGATAATCGACCTGTTGCTAAATTCTGGAATTACTAAACGTTGCAGTAAATTCCATCAAAATCATTCAACACAACAAAAGTAACGCGAAACGAGTAAACAGCAAACCTATTATTGCCTTATGTTAAGAACTATGCACATATCATAAGCACACAAACACGACACAAATATTTTTGTATTTTTATTTTTTTTTAATTTTTTTGGGGTTATTTTTTCGTTTTTTATCACACCGAACAAATAACATTTATATATCTATGTGATAAGGTAACGACCGCTTCTAGGGCCGATAAATCCAACTAAAACCTATTTAACTTACTACCTAGCCTAAATCCCGCGATTAGAATTAATAATCTATGTACATTTGAACCCGCAATCACTCCGTTCTTGTTTGTCTTTCTCTATATGTACAGTGAATTAAGTATAAAATAAGTTAAATCTAATCCGCTCGCTCGCTTGATACCTTTGTAATTATCCGGTATTGGTTGATTTCGTTAGAGACGGTAATTTCGGAATAGTCTCGATAGATAATCTCTCTGGTCGTCGTAGAGAAACGTAGGCGGTATTATCAGAACGCTTGTGTTTAATTTGTTTTAGTTATGCATTGAGGACGACGAATCCAATTGCCGATTAAGAGTTTTTTTTTATGTGAAAAGTTTGCCAAGCGAGCAGACGGTTCACCTGATGTTAAGTGAATACCGCCGCCCACGGACATCTGCCACACCCGAGGGTTGCAGATGCGTTGACAACCTTATGATAATTGGGCTCCGGCCACCTCACTCACCAGACGAAACGCGAAAGTATACTTTCACTTTACGCCGGTCTTCTGTGAGGTCGTGGTACTTATCCGGACGGGCCTGCCCATTCGTGCAACAGCCGAGGCTGCTGCGTGGCCCTACCACCGTACAATTTTGTTGGCACTGTAACCGAAATACGTTTCTGTGTTAATTAAGCTGACGTGTCCATTTGACTCCAGAGCAATATCTCACGGTGGTGAAATAATAGCTGGCTAATTTCGTAACGATGTGGTGTTTCCGCTTCTCGCTACCGAAAGTTTTTAAGAGAAAATCCTGTCTAATAATGTGTGCCTTCACAAGTACCGCCATACATCGGCTGTGCCGAGTATTACTTCTTAAGGTGTTGAAACTATTGCCGATGTCATCATTCCATATTCAATTCGATTGTTTTTAGGGCGCGACATGGCAAAAGTGCCAAATGGAAATTAGGAACGGGCGGATGTCGTCGTAGGTGGTCAGATCGTGTTTGTATTGGTTGCCTAATTCTGATGGATAGCAGTTCTTAAAATGAGCAATCGTTTCAGCCCGGCTTTTCTGTTCACCACCACCAATTGTCGCCATTCGAAATACTATCTAATTATACTAAAGTTACACATTTACACGTGCCATGTCCAGGCGTCACTTGTCTTGCCACGGGCCCTGTCTCCGCTTAACTAACTTTAACAATATAAGGAAACTCCAGTCTTATCCCAAAATGCCCTACGAGAAATGTATACATATATAGGGATCTAACTGGCCACTATTCGACTTGTGATGCTAACACCTATTTTTACTATTTACCCGAAACATTAAATTTAGAACGGAGCTGTCTGCGCAACAAGCGACGTTTCCCGTGCTCTAGTAAATTTAAACGTACCAAAAAATTTGAACATAAAGTGAAATTCAATGTAAACCAGTGAGCAATTTTTTTTTAAATTAAAGAAAAAGTTAAAGACACCGAACCGAAAGATAATGAAATCTATAAAAATTTTGACAAGATTATAATTAATTTATAATTAATCCAATATCTAATCGAACTGTCAACGAAAACGTACTAACAAACAAACAAACGGAACCGAACGGTTAAACTTTGACAAGAAGAAAACGCCCTTTCGCGTGATGATACAAGAAAGGTCCGTACTGGGGATTTTTATCACGCCGTCGAAGTGGCACAGGTGAAGAATGCCGTTGAGATTCCTCGCACCTGCACGGACCTTCGAAACTCCGCATAAATCACCGCTTGTCGCGCGAACCGACCCGAATGCGCGCCTATTTACAATGGACACAGGGCCCGAGATGTGTTGCAGTTGTCACAGCTGCTGTCGCAGTTGGTGCGGTTGCAGAAAGGACGCCTGGACGTGTGCAGCTAAGAGAGGGTTGCCTTAGAGGTCGGCGGGAGAAGCCAGTTCGAGCCTGGAACGCCTGCGATCCCGCGCGGCGGGCAGCTGCCCCGAGGAGGAGCGCTGCAGGGAGGTGGAGAGGGGCTGCGGCGTCTCCGCCTTGGTCTTCTTCACCTTGCTGCCGCCGCTGGCCGGCTGCTTGCCCTTCAACGAGGACACGGAGACCACGACGTCCGTCGTCACGCCGTCTTGCTCTGCCGGTGGAGGGAGATGCCTCAGGCTCCAGCGGCCGACGCGCCCAGGGACCGCCGCTGAGAGTCACTAGAGACATCTCAGCGCCGGCCCCTGACGAGTGCCAATCTCTGGGCATCGAGGCTGTGTACCGCGATCCGTAGTTGTAAGCGGAATACGTTTTTTTTGTTACTAAAGAGGCCCTCTTAATATTGAATGAGATGTCTAACTTTACAAATACATTGTCTTCTTTTGTGAAAAGTGGTCGATGTTAAGTGAACACCGCCACCCGTGGTCGTCTACTACACCCGAAGGCCTGTAGACGCGTTGGCAACCTTTAAAAAAGTGGGCCCCGGTTACCTCATTCACCGGGCAAAACGGGAAAGTTTAACACCGGAACTATGATATACTTGAGGCCGGTCTACTAAGAGACCCTTCCTCGGACGAGCCTGCCCATTCCTGCAGCAGCCGAAGCTGCTGTTCGGCACTCCCACGGTCAAAAGACAATGCGTGTCTGTACAACAAACCTAATATCTCTTCAGGTTATATAGAAGCAGACTATATATCCTGAAGAGTTATTAGGTTTGTTCTTTTTCGTATTTAATCTACATTAGTGATGATGATGATTGGGAGTATGTGTATGTATTCTCCAGCGCTAAGGTGTCACTCACCTGTCCGCTTGATGACCTCGCCCGCGTTGTTCAGAAAGTATTTCGGCTTGTTGTCTTTGAGCGATTCCTGCGAAGGTTTGTTAGTCTAATTAGTTCTTTAATAAAAGCTCTAATTTATTACGCGCAATTCTCATATCACATACCGAGACATAGTTATAGTATGTCATATGTTTCGTAAAATAAAGCAAATTGACTATGCTTTTTTTGTATGTTTTGAAAGTGCCACGTTTGTGATAAATAGCATGGCTCCTTTTCCTAAGGCAAAGAATAAACGTAAGCTAAAATAAACATATTACTTATGGATAAGAGGACTCTATACCCAAAATATATGTAGGAAAAAAACAGAATATAAAACTTTTTAAGCATAAATTTAAAAACATATATTCACAGACGAAGGTAAGTATATAATATAAATGAATTTACACCAAGCCAATAACTTGTGAGTAACAACAGTATCAATTCCACACATTGGCGTCGTCGAGATATTCCGCAATGGTAAAATATCTGTTACATGAAGCAAAAACTTTGAACCCCTTTTCACAAAAATTACGCAGACGGGGGAGTATGTAAAATAACACATATAGTTTATCTAGAGAAGGTGTGCATTAATAAAAAAAAACATTACACACACACTACCGTGTGTAATTAACTAGACCACTAGGCGGCCACTGGTAATAATAAATATGTACTTGACAATCACGGGAGCATCGCCATTACTACAATAAGAGCAACGAGAGTGACCTTTGATTTGCTAGATTTGGAAGCAGAGTCATTGCTTCCGCGCCACCACGGTCACTGAATCTCGCAGAACGCGCGGCCGGACTCCTTGGTGGGCGAGGAGGCTTCGCCGTCGGCGGGCGCTTCGCCCTCGGGCTTCGGGGAGCCGCTGCCCGAGCCGGTGGCGCCCCTGTTGCCAACATTCATTTATTTCGATGAACGAATGAATGAATGAGTGAATGAATGAATGAATATTTATTATAAAAAAGAGCGGTCGAGCGAGTCAGCGGAGACAGACAGGTTGCGCACCACGGTGGAGGTCTTCAGTTTTTTCATTGTTTATTCAAAACTATCCAGCACTTGACTACCATCCTACCTGATGGTGAGTGGAGTTGCAGACGTTGACAAGCGCTCAGCTGGCTCGGTAAAAACCTATACATTTGACTATTTAGTTAACGTAAAGTCGACAATCGACCGATGCGATGGTCAGAGTGCGCACAGTTGACAAGCGACGGGAAAGATATTGCGGAAGTATTTCTTTGCGTTCGAAATTGGGAAAGTAAATTTTTGATGGTGCAACAGACGAAGAGCGAAGTGAAGTTGGTCCCATTGCAAGCCAACTTCAGGATATTACCACGGAAACCGGTAAAAACTTTTTGACATTTGCCTTTTTTATTCTTTTCTTTTTTTAAAACATTGCCCTTACTTTAGGATAACATTATCCTGTGTTGTAAGGACGTTTAACAAACATAAATTCTACATAGACGAACACCGACATAAGAAACAACCATCTGTGGGTCACACAAATAATTGTCCCGTGTGGGAATCGAACCCACGACGCCCGACGCCGAAACCAATACCTTGGCAACTGCACCACGGAGTCATCAATACCCTATATACCTTTAGCACAAAGTAGATAATATATCTATAGTTACCAAATAATTTAATTAAGCCGACCATGTTACTGCGCAGTAGACGATTGTGCAGTTCTCATATTTACATAAAGGAATTTAGTCGCATTAAGTGCCCCAATTTCGACCGAAAGCCAGACGGTAAAACGATATAAAAATATTCGAGCCCTCGCCTTAAATCTAATACACTCAAGCAATCTAACAAGTCTCGGTGCCAACACCAATGAAATTATTAATTTTAAGTACCGACTGTGGTAGGGTCACGCAACAGTTTTCGCTGTTGCACGAATGGGCAGGTCCATCCAAGTAAGTACCACGACCTCACAGAAGACCAGCGTGAAGTTTAAGCGATATACTTCTGCGTTTTCTCTCGTGATTGAGGTAGGGAGCCCACTTTATTCAAAAATGGCAACGCATCTGCAACCCCAGGGGTATTGCAAATATTCATGGGCGGCAGTTATCACCTAACATCAGGCGAACCGCCAGCTGATTTACCACTTTATCACATAAGAAAAAAAAAAGACGTGGTTAGCGGTGATGGAAAACACTCAGAGGAAACCTGCATATTTTCGAAATAATAACAGAAAAAATATTTCCTAGATGTCTGAAGTCTGCCAATCTGATCGGGTTATGCCTTAATACTCTTTGTACAGAGGAGGTAGCAGTGGGACATGTTACTTTACCACTTTACTTACTTAAACGAATGATGAAATTGATGATTATAAATACTTTTATTTTCATCGCTAATGACATTTTTCTACTTGTTTTTTTTTTTTTTTTTAATAATTTTGCCATTACTTTAGGATAATATTATCCTGTGTTGTAATGATGTTTTACAATCATAAATTTCACGCAGACAAACACCCAGATGCGAAACAACTTTCTGTGGGTCACAAAAATAGTTGTCCCGTATGGGAATCGAACCCACGACCCCTGACGCCGAAGCCAATACCTTGGCGACTGCACCACGGAGTCATCTCATAAAGGTAACAGTAGGTTGTAGATGAATTAACTTGAGTCTTCCAAAGGTACAGGCGACAAGGAACAAGTTATAGCTTACATTAAGAAACGATATCGATGAATAACTTTGTTCTAAAAGAGATTCTGCACTTACGTCATATCGACGCGGACGGTGTTGCTGTTTTGTTGGTTCCTCATGGCAAGTGTGGACACCATGGGTGGTCGCTGCGGCTTGTTGGCAAGTAGCCGCTCGATCTCGGTCATCATTGATGGTGTCAATTGCGGCACTATCTGTGGAAACAGAAATAAATAACGTTATATATTTTTTACGGTGGCAGGGCCACGCAGCAGCCTTCGCTGTTGCACGGATGGGCACGCCCGTCCGGGTGAGTTCCACGACCTCGCAGAAGACCAGCGTAAAGTGGAAGTATGACAAATACTTTCGCGTTTCGTTTGGTGAGTGAGCCAAATTTTCAAAGCATCTGCAACCCTCGGGTGAAGCGGATGTCCACGGGCGGCGGTATTCGCTTAACATCAGGTGAACCGTCTGCTTGTTGGGCAACTTTTCACGGAAAAAATTAGATATCATCATCATCATCATCATCAGCCGCAAGAGGTCCACTGTTGAACATAGGCCTCCCCCTTAGAACGCCACAGCGAACGACACTTTGCCATTTGCATCCACCGGTTGCCCGTGACTCTTATGATGTCGTCGGTCCACATAGAGGGAGGCCCTCCAACGCTACGTCTTCCGGTTCGTGGTCACCACTAGAGAACTCATATTCTTCGAGCGATGATGCCACGTCAGCTTGCAAATCCAGAGAGCTATGTAAGCGAGCCCAGTTATTCAGCAAATTTCCTCGTTCCTGATTTTGTCTTAATGTATAAACGATAAGTTATTATAGCATGTTACATTGTGATGCCAGCCGTGATAGCTAATTGTCCGGGCGCTCGCTTTGAATTCCGTATACTCGAGCAATCTGAGTTCAATCCCCAGTGGCGGCACCAATGAAATAGTTTATTTTAAATGCTAACTTATCGCGTGCTCAGCGGTGAAGGAAAACATCATCAATCAACAGTAGACGTGCGTATTCTCGAAATAACATGAACAAATACAAAAAAAAATATTTTAAATATTTCAAAGATATGTGAAGTCCTCCAATACGCAGTGGGAAAACGTGGTGGACTACGCTCTAATACCCTTTGTACGTAGGAGGCTTTTGTGCAACAGTGGGACATGTAAAACTGTTAACTTTACTTTCAACACTATGAAAAAAAAAAATACTTCTCTATCAAGGCGAGAGCCGACGTAATTGTTTATCCGTCCATTATGAAAATCTGCAATGTGTGGCCGCCTGCGTACACGATTGTTGTAATGGTTTCAGTGATGGGTGTTGTGTGTTCCAAACCCATACGAGACAAAGACTTGTATTCAACAAGACGCATGCTAAGTATATAAAGTGGTGCTTCCTAGCCTGATTTATTGGTCTTCTTCTTCGTTGTCGTGTCCTTATCCTACTCAATAATGGGTTTTGCTGGGTATTTTTAATACCAGCCACACTCCTCACGTTAATCCTCCTTGGGAAGAAGCACGCAGATCCTATACAGTTATCCGTAATACACAAATACTTGTCCCGTGTGGGAATCGAACACAGGAACCCCGGAGCGGAAGCCTAGCAAATGCTCCGCTGATTTTCTGGTGCAATAGTTGCACAAGAAGGGACTTCTGTATTCTTAAAGGTCTACTTTAAATCTTCATTATTTATTTGCTGACAAAGCCTAAGAAGCATAATTGTTATATGATCAACCTGATGATTTGAGTTTACCTGTAGAGCGTGTATGTTCTCCTTGAATTGTTCGACGCTGGTGGCCCCCAATAGTAAGCAATTGACAGATTCGTTCTTGAGGCACCACGCCACTGCCAGTTGACTCATGGAACAGTCTGGCCAAATATGAGAACATATAATCGTCTGTCATATAATGGAAAAAAGCTCTTCAAATTTTAAATTTTTGTACATAAAAGAAACTACTAAAACTTTCGGCGAAAACCACGTCTTCTGGATTCGCATTCAGACCCCTTACCGACTAAGCGTATATAAATTATATATTAGCTTAGTTTTGTATTTATTATACATATATTATACTTAAGCTCTTCTAAATATCTAGTCGCTATATGGAATCATGGAATCGATTCTAAGCGCAGCGGAGCTATCTTTTACTGCTCCTTGGTGTGTAAGGCAAGAGCCGGGCTAGGGGGCCATTGGTTAGTTGAAAGGGGACCACGCCCCTCATCGCTCGATGATGTTCATACTTCTCCCCCTAAATACTTCCATCAACCGCGACAGAGTTAAACATCTAAAAATTGTGTACGCAGTAATGTTAATTTACTCATGTAATATATCATAATTCACTGATGTTAACTTACTCAAGGTGTCGGCAAGGTTGGCTAAATCCCGTAGCTTATCACCGTATGTGCGCGGTTCTTCGCCGGTCACTTGCTCTTTGCTCCCCGAAATGCGTAACTGTTGGTGTTAATGGGTGGATAAAACGATTTATAATTCGAATCGGTGCAATATTTTATTGACTTGGTTGCTTCACTGTGGTAGCTTAACTGGGTTAGCTGTTGCAGGATGGGGCAGGCGCGCCCGGGAAAATACCAAGTCCTCACAGAAGACCAGCGTGAAGTGGAACTATTGAACTTCCGCGTTTCGTCTGGTGAGTGAGGTAACTGGGTCATACGACGACTTAATGGTTGTCAACGCATCTTCAAGCCCTCGAGTGTATTAGACGCTAACATACGGCGGTATTCAGTTAACATCAGGTGAATCGCCTGCTTTACTTGACAACTTTATACATTAAAAAAACGATAAATGATGATGATGCCGATGTTCTTGAAACTGGAGAATTTTATAATACACTGGCGACTCGCCCCGGCTTCGCACGGGTGCAATGTATTATACATATAAACCTTCCTCTCGAATCACCCATCTAGTAAAAAAATCGTATCAAGATCCGTTGCGTAGTTTTAAAGATCTAAGCATACATAGGGGCAGACAGACAGCGGGACGCCTTTGTTTTATACTATGTAGTGAAGACGTGTACTTTGGATTTTTTCGATTTGCTTTAGAAATAGTGCAGAGTGACTAGTTTACAGCAAGTAGTCTTCTATGTCTTGAACGTACGATCTTTACGTACATTCCACTGTGGACACGAGCTACCGACGAGTGTAGATAATTTGGATGATGTTAGGAACATTGCTTACAACGATAACACGTTAATGAGGTACAAAAAAAAACTTTAAACACTATTTGTAAATTGAACAAAGCCGATAATTACTTCGGG